ACTATAACTGCAATATAATGTTTATGTAGCAATAATACATATGACATATATTTTTTAAATGTCTCCAGTACCGATAAAAAGACAAATAACTTCGGAGCTTAATGGTACCACTGTCTTCAATAATTCCGCCCCGGGGCCCGTTTAATACCGGGGCTCGGTACCCATCCCTAATCACACATGACAAAGAAGGAAACGTAAAGCGGTCGCAAACAACAATGGCGGACACGGACAATTTGCGAATGAGTTCTGCCTTTTGTAAGCTGAATGTATCAATAATTTGTCAATAAATATGGGCGAATAACGTCACTTGTCCGTCTGAAATGATAAATGTAGTAAAAAGCTCAAGGAAAGACACACATTTGAACTATGAGTTGCAGATGGTCAAAATAAAGAGGGCGGGGCAAACCGTATCACGAATTAAACAGGAAGTCTTTAGTGAGTGCAACGATGCCTTAAATTTTTAAGGCATTTTTTTCGAAAAAAGGTTTCTGAGTTTTGGAGGGCTTGAGTATTGTGTGTACAAAGTGTCACTAATGAAACAGGAACTCTGGGATGCCTCCCACAAGTTCTTATGACAAACGGTTTATGTATTATGAGAGGGGGCGGGGTCACAGTGTAAGGGGATAGGCACACTATTGGCTGTGAATGTCCTCAGGCTTGGATTGTCATCAAGTCTGTCAAGTTGGGTGCAGATCAGAAGTAACAGGCACTTCCTGTTTCATGGGGAGGAAGGCCTTTGCGAGATCTCATAAAAACTCTAAAGCTCTGCAATTTATCATTACACCAGTCAGTGGAAATCAGTTTTGTTTAAATATTTTAAAAGGTTGTGCACTTTGACCTTATTGTTTGAGTTATCAACTTTTCCTTTGCAATTTAGCATCACATTGGTGACAAAGTTAGTCCAACCAAAATTCTAATGTTTGCTAAAAGTTTGCTAAAATTACAGGAAGAACCTTATTTTTCAAAACGGCCGACGTCTGAGTAGCCAATGCTCATTAAAGCCAATTTGATATTTGTTGACAATAGCAAGGGCAATGTGTGAACTATCATGAATATCAAAGGACTTTTGCCTGAACATTATCTTACAGTTAAAGGTGGGGTAGGTAAGTTTGAGAAACCGGCTCGAGATACACTTTTTTTATATTCCATGGAATGCTCTTAACATCCCGATAGCAATGCATATCTTAAGTGCTTTGACCAAAAATCCATAACAAAATGTCATCTGTGGAAGCCGTAGTACTGTACCACCTTTAAAGGTTGTAGAATGAAGATGCCGGCGCAGACAGCAGCGGCCCCTAGCTCTCACGCATCTTTAGTTTTTACGACAGCTGGACAGGAGACACCGCAGGTGGTGTGAGAGGAAGCAGAAGAGGGGTAAGTGCGGAGGCTTCCGGGCTAGGCTAGCAGCTAGCCCACACAGGCCCACTATCCCGAGCATTCTCATGGCTAATGTACTCACTGGATAATAAAATGGACAACTGAAGACTTCTCCGGTCGACCCAAAGTGAGGTGAGAGAATGCTGTGTGTACGTTTTCACGGAAACATGGCTAAATGACAACATCACAGACTCTGCCTTTCAGCTCGACCGGCTAACATGCTACCGCTCAGACAGAGCCACGGTTAGCAGGGGGGAAGACCTGCGGTGGAGGGGTTATTGTTTACATCAATGATGCTTGGTGTAGGGACGTTGTGGTTGTCTACAAACACTGTTCACCGCTGGCGGAGTTTATGGTCGTGAAGTGCAGGCCTTTCCATCTTCCAAGGGAAATCAGCACCATCCTGCTAGCAGCTGTTTACATCCCCCCCACCTCTAACAACAAGGACAGAGAGGAGGCACTCGGTGAGCTGTATCGAGCGATCTATAACCAGCAGGCAACACACCCAGACGGTGTTCTCATCGTCGCTGGGGACCTCAATCATGCAAACCTGAAAACATATGTTGATTTCCCAACAAGAAAAAACAATACTCTGGATCTTGTTTATACCACAATCAAGGGAGCTTACAAGGCTTCTCCCCTCCCCCACATCGGACTCTCACATCACCTCACTGTTATGTTAAAACCGGCATACAGACCCTGAGTGAAAGTCACCAGATCAGTTTCCAAAATCGGTACGCACCTCGGTTTTTAGGTCACGGTTCGGTACGTTTTCGGTACAGCAGAAAAAATTATCACAAAGCATTAAAAAAAAACTAATTATTTATTATTATTAAACTGTGAATAATGTATTCACTCAAATAAATACAAAATATAATAAAATAGACATTAAGGTGCAGCATTTCGATGAACTGAAATAATCTGTATTTGAACTGTACTGTACTAGTACCTAAGCAGCCAGTTTGACATTAGGACTTGCTTGTCATTGTATTTTCATGTTTTTTTAAAGAAAGATGAACTTGTCCACATTGCTTGCCGAAAGGGCAGATCTGCTGGCACTAACAATGTCTCCTGCTGTGGAGAACACCCTCTCGCTAGGGACAGAGGTAGTAGCAGATACAGC